AAGCTTTAACAAATCATAATTAATATATCACCACACCCACCCACCTTTAACCACCTACACCTCACCTACACTCCACCTACACCCACCTACACCCCAGCTATACCCCAAATCAGTGCGATTTAAACAACTTTCAAAAGAAGGTCTGTTTATCGTCTATCTTCTCCATCAGACCCTGAGCTTGAGGCTAGAGACTGTTGTATTTACCCCATGACCTCTGCACCTGGCTCATAAGAACTCAGCAGCTATGACCAAATGAGTGATTTTTGTTTTGTTTTTGTTGTTTGAGGCAGGGTTTCTCAGTGTAGCTTTGGAGTCTGTCCTGGAACTAGCTTTTGTAGACCACCAGGCTGGTCTTGAACTCACAGACATCTGCCTCTTGAGTGCTGGGATTAAAGTTGTGCACCACCAACAACCGCCCAAATAAGTGATTTTTGACAACATGGAAAAGCAGCATCACTTGGATATCATGGTCCTCTTAGACCTACCCAGCCTATGGATAAGTCCAACCAGATCAACCTACCCAGCCTACGGATAAGTCCAACCCTGACAGCAACTACATGGTCTGGGGAAGTTTAAAAGGAAACACCATGTCACCCAATCAAGCTGTCTTTCTTCTGACACTAAGACTGTATCCCCCGCCCCAGTGGAAGCTCCCAGCCTTGTTCTCCTGGATAGACTGCTACCTTCTGATGGCAATAATGAGCAGTAACAGACTGAGCCCTTGTCCCTGGTGGCTGCAATAAACGCATCGGAAACACGTTGCCCATCTCAGAGTGAAGCTTAGAGGCCGGAGGCGGCCATGGAAGAAAACCAAGGTTGACAGCTCCCAGTTTAAGAACCTGATATTCTATAAATGAAAAAAGGCCAGCTGCCTGTCCCGTCACCACTGAACTCGGTAAATGAATTATCCTGGCCTTCTGTTATTTTTCAAACTGGGAACTCCTAATGATATCTGTTTGGGCAACTCTAAACTTCATTTGTCAAAAAAAAAAATAAGATCTCCAATTTGCTGAATCTGAAGTTTGTTTGTTTGTTTTTTTCTTCTTCTTCTCTAGGCCTTACATTGTTGAGCATTTTTCCAAAGCCTGTTTTCTCTTTATCTGTTTCCATAAGGGCCATTTTATTTTGACTAACTCCTTAAAACCATCTCAGGTCACCCACAGCTGAGGACCAACTGGCTGAGGCCTTCAGGACCCCAGATGCACTTTTGCATAGTTTCCCACGAATCTGATGCTGCCAGTGCCCTCCGCTCTGCCTGCACTGAAATGGGTCAAGCACTTCACACGGCTGGCTGGGCCTTCACACTCTCCAGCCTTGCTGGGAGACGAACTCTTCTGGGACCCTTTCCTTCTCTGAGCGAGTAGCTAATCACCCCCATTCCCACCTCCTCAATATTTCAAACAAATGCCTACGGTAAACAGCCCATATGCCACATTGTAACTATTTGTTTATGTGTCCTCACTGGATCAAGAGCCCCTCAAGTGGAAATTAACATTTCATTCATAGCTGTATCCCTAGTCCTTGGCATACAGAAGACACACATTTGCTTGTTGACTCAGTGAGTGAAAATAAGGAGACTTGGTCCCCACCCAAAGGGCCAGGACTTAAAACTTTGATTTAACCGCTGGGAAAGGATCAACACACCTCTGGAGTGGATCCTAATGGTTCCTCTAGCAACTGAACACATGGGTTAGACCAAGAACATTAGGTTCACAGGTAACTCAGAGGGCCAGGAACGTCCCCATCCATTCCGGGAGCAACCTTTTCATTTTTAACCATCTGGAGCCTGCAAGTGCTGCTCAGCAGGCGGGCGAGCCACCAGGCCTGAGCTCATAGTAGCAGCTCCATTAGTGTCCACCTCAAAGAGAAATCAGCCACCAGTAGCACAGCTGCTTCCCCAATCTGTGAGGCACATCTCTAAAACCATTTTCCTCTCCAGCTATCACCGCTGAAGCCTTTCGGGCAGAGAGCAATTTGTCCTCAACTTACTCTGGGCTCCTCAGTTAGCAGAACTGCTTCCGTGCTCCCCGCTACTCCACTGAGCCGGTTACCACCACCCTGACCAATCCAAGCACTTGAGCCCAGCCCTTGCCGCCTCCTCCCTAGCACGTCATCGCCAGGTCACCTGTCACCCACCAGTTGCTTCTACTTCTGGGACTTTCCATACTCTGCTTTCTCTGCAGGGAACGCGCCTCAACCACCGGGTTAATGACTCTGTCCTTCCGAGTCCCATGCAGGTATCCCTTCCTCCAGGAAGCATTCCCTGATTTCATTAGACGCTGCTCCTGTAGGCCCACCACTAGTCATTCAACTCTACAACCAACAGCTGTGGACACCCAGCTTACATCTGTTCCTAGTGCTGCCGACTCAGCAGGGAGGAAAGCAGAAACACTACTTCCAAGTTCTCCAAGTGGGGAGAGTCCATAAACAAATCAATAGGTAAAACTTAATTAGCAAGCCTTCCAGCATTTAAGGGGCTGGGGCAGGAGGAGCTCAAGTTTGAGGCCTGTGTGGGTGACATGGCGAGGTCACCTCACAGCAGACACATGAAGTAACCGCCGAAAAGTGGTCGGTGAAGAGGAGGCAAGGCGAAAGCTCTGTGTTTTGCTGGGATCAAACGAACTCAGGGCCTTGCACAAGCCAGGCAAGCACCCTACCACTGAGTTATGTCCTTGGCTAGGCTAAAGTATTAAAAAATATTTGAAAGAAAGAGCAATTGCACTTATGGGCATCAGTGAAGGCATTTCTAATAGAGAAACGGAGACTTGAGTCCATTGGGGTGGGAGCACTGAGGGTCAGAACGGTGCGTGCAAAGGCCCTGAGGCAGAGGCACACTTGCTATATGTATAGACAAAGTGGGACTGAGCCAGTGGAACCGGGCACACAGTATACACAGTAAGAGCTTGTGTATCATTCTAACCAGTGAAGTCTGAGAACAGGAACATGGGAAGCGAGGCCAAGGAGTCATCCAGGAGCAAGGTCCTGTAACAAACACAGGGGAGTGGGTTAGGATTTTACACCAAATAAAACGGAAGCCACTGGGTTTTGAGCATGGAGGAGAGACAATTTGCTTTACCTCTTTAAAGGTCTGTTCCGGCTGCTGGGGGACAACAGACTATAGGGGCATCTCGAAAGGCTGACATCTGAACATATATCTGTTCCACAAATATTGACTGAGGGCAAGTTTTGTTTTTTTTTTTTTTTTTTTGGTTTTTCGACAGGGTTTCTCTGTATTGTTTTGGAGGCTGTCCTGGAACTCGCTCTGTAGACCAGGCTGGCCTCGAACTCACAGAGATCCGCCTGCCTCTGCCTCCCGAGTGCTGGGATTAAAGGCGTGCACCACCAACGCCCGGCTTCGGCAAGTCTTATTCTAGGCGCTGCAGACACCTAGTAAAACAGGACCTCTAGCAGCAAGGAAGACTCAGTGCAGTGCGAGACAGAATCGTAGGCTTAACCACAGGACGCATGTCTAGGCCAGAACACAACACAGAAAGCCAGGAAAGGAAGCGGGCAGAGAAGCATCCCAGAAGGGAAGAGAGCCCGTGTGGGAGAGCAGGAGCTCACAAATGGACCACAGTCAGCCCTGCCAACAGTTCCAAGATGCTTGGGGTTTTTATCCTGCAGGTGACAGTGATCCTGATGGGCATCACTGGGGGATGGCTGCTGCGATTCCCAGATTTGATATATCCTTTTGTTTATAGCAGAAAGGCAAATTTGGAAAGGGTAAGACAGGAGGCTATATAGTAATCTGGGCAAAAAGAGGACAAGGTCTAAATACATTCAGGAAGTAAAACCATCAGGACTGCAGGAGGGAGCTGTGGGGACGGGCTCGTCCCCAGGTTTGTAGCTGGGATGGGTGGCTTGCCACAATGCCAACTGAGAGAAGGTGTGCTATATCATAGATGTCCATGGGTCATTGAGAGGTATCTGAAACTTGGGGAAGAGTTCAAGGTCAGCCTGGTCTACATAGCAAGTGGCTGAAGATACGATCTGGGAATGCCCCCAGCAGATAGGTGATGCTTGAAACTGACTTGATATAATCAAGACACCGTGCAGGTCAACAGGTGTGGGCTCTGCCTCAGAGCAGTCATTCCTATCTGCAATCCTGAGTAAGTCGGGGCACTTCTCTGAGTCTTTTCTCACCTTTTGTTGGCAATCTTTTTGTAAAATGTTGCCAGAGCTCTGGGCACATGGTACGCGCTTGGCTATTAAGTACCAGCAGCAGTCACTGGCTGTGGGGAAACTGAACAAGATGCTTCTGCTGTGTGAGCCCAGGTCTCACCTGGAGCCAGAGCTGGCTATCTCCTGGGACTCCTGGCCTAGTGCTCAGTGAATGTGTGTCAAACGTGACTAAATCTGGACCACTGAGCAAACAATACTTGACAGCATAGGCAAGAGGACTGAAGAATTCTAAGGCCCCAGCTATCATCTCAGACGGAGCAACATTTGCAAGGCAGACGCCATCAGCCCTTGCCTTCCGTCCAATCCCCTTTCCTTTGAAGGCTCACCTCTCCCTTCCCCTCATACTGCAAATGTAGTTTACAGCCTTCCTTGGGCCTTGTTACCTCCCTCAGATTCTACATATATGTGTATGTGTGTGTATTTATGTCTCATTATGTATTCCTGGCTGTCCTGGAACTCACTGTGTAGACCAGACTTGCCTGAATCACAGATCCTCCTGCCTCTGCCTCCAAAGTGCTGGAATGAAAGGTGTGCACTACCACACTCAGCCTGTCCCCCATTAACTTTACTCCCCTTTCCAACTCAGAGTGCCATTTGCTTTGCCCACCCTGCCTTCCTGCCTTTCTTCTTCTTCTTCTTTTTTTTTTTTTTGGAGACAGAGTCTTGCTATGTAGTCCTGGCTGGCTTGGTACTCACTACATAGCCCAAAGAGGCCTCAAAATAATGGCAATCCTTCTGCCTCAGACTCCTAGTGCTGGGATTACAGGCACCAGCCACTACACTCAGCTCTGTAGTGCTCTTGAATGAGGCAACTCTACTTGTTTTAGTATATCTGTTTATTATCACTTTTTAAAGAGCAAGTACAATTTACATAATCACCCAAGCAGGCTTGTATAGACATATTTCATTGAAAATCTTCACATATGCATCTTTTCATACTGCAGTAAGTCTGCAAGAGAAATTTCATTATGCATCTTCTACAGAGCCTGTATTCAAATAAACCCGGAGGTGCGGGAAGCTTCAGGCCAGCTCATTAGAAGCCTCAGCATGGGGGCTCAGGAGCCCATCCCCTAAGGTCTTCCAGGGAGAGCTGAAAGGCTCAGATAAGTGAGCGCTGGCAAGCAGGGCTGGTCTCAGGCTCCAGTGGGCTCACCCCTGGGGTTGAGCAAAGAGAACAGACAGGGGAGTTCTGAGAGGCTTCGGAGCTGTCTAAACTCAGGGGGATGGAACCGAGTGAGCAGCAGCGGTAATTGAGTTTCAGTTACCTGCAGGGTGGCGAAATAAAGTGGTAACTTCATCTGCCTGACATGGGGGAGTTTAGAGGTGTCCTTGGCAAGCTCACAGTGAAACCTGTCACCCTTCCATTGTGTTGGGTGATGGCAACTGGGTGGCGCTTCCTAGTGACAGCCGTGGTGTCCCGTCAGGCAGCGCCAGCGCAAGGCAGCTAATGAAGCCGCTCCCACAGGCCCGTCTCCCGGGGTTCCCCATATTCTGTCTGAAGGAATGGCACCATGGGAATATCCAGCACAGCAGACACGCGCATCACCCAAACTCAAAAGAGTCTTTGAATGGCGGAGTGGGGAGCGAGGCCCAGCGCTGGGCCCGTCCTCGGGTCACTTTTTGTGGGTCTGTACAAACGTGCCGACCGGCAGCGCCCCGCTCTTCACCTGCTCCCGGATCTCAGCTCGATGCTTTAATGTGAAAACCAGAGCTCGCACGGTCCTCCGGTACGGCCCGTTAATGAGCCGGGAGCAGAGATGAAACGTTTCCCGCTCAATATTTTCAACCAGTAGGTGATCCATCTGAAAAACAGCAAAATTATCAAATTAAGGGCTTGCGTTGCATAAGGATTAAAAGCAAGAGAGGCTGGCGCACTCTGCTCTGGGGCCTCCATTAATCAACTGAAATTCAAGGACATCTACTTCCTGTCACAAGAGAAACAGGAAGAGCAAATTAATTCCACCCTGGCAATTAAGGAACAAGGCCATGTGCTTTGTGACAGGGACCTCATTCACAACCCCTGCCGGGTGGTAATATTTGCCATTATAACAGGAAACCGGCCTGAACTAAGCAACGGGCACCAGGCCCTGTGCTTCACCAACCAGGAAGCGGGTTCCAAGGATAATAAATCAGAGAACCGGTGCGTACTTCTTTGTTTTAAAAGTGCCTTTCAACTTTGTGTAACATTTTAGGAATGCTGGTCTGGACCCTGAGATGCACACAGTGCAGTTTAAAATCATGGTCACATTTAATATTCATAACTGACTATCACGTTTTACACGGGATACGAGGTAAAAGGGGTCAAGGTCTCACAACTGAAGAGGCCGGCCCAGACCCAGACCCACTTTCAGAGCCATCCCCAGGCGGCTGAGTCAGGAGCTGGACAGGGTCCGTAGCAGTGCTGGGGTGATCTGCCTCAGACCTAAGCTAGACTGAGGCCCCAGGCTAATCAAAGCAGGACAGGGCTGTGTCCACATATGGATCCAGGACAGCCTGGCTGGCTGGTCAGGAACTTCGAGCAGTTACCTCTTTTCCAGGCCCACCTTCTAGTAGCAAGGATTGCTTTTCCCTAGGAATCACACTGTGCTGGCTGGTTTATGTGAACTTGACACAAACTAGTCACCTGAGAAGAAGGAACCTCTGCTGAGAAGAACGCCTCCATAAAACCAGGCTGCATGCAAACCTGTGGGCTCTGTCTCTCTCTCTTTTGTTTTCCAAAACAGGGTTTCTCTGTGTAGCCCTGGCTGGCCTCAAACTCAGAAACCCATCTGTTTCTGCCTCCCGAGTGCTGGGATTAAAGGCATGTGCCACTATGCTTGGCTGCAGGGCATTTTCTTATTTTGTGATTATTGTGGGAGGGCCCAGCTTACTGTGGGTGGTGCCATTCCTGTGCTGGTGGTCCTGGGTTCTATAAGACAGCAGGCTGAGCAAGTCATGAGGATCAAGCCAGTAAGCAGCACCCTCCATGGCCTCTGCATTAGCTCCTGCCTCAGTGTTCCTGCCCTGCTTACGTTCCTGCCTTGATTTCCCTCAATGACTATGACTCAGGATATATAAACCAAACAAGCCCTTTCCTCCCCAAGTTGCTTTTAGTCATGGTGTTTCACGACAGCAACAGTACCCTAAGACACACTGCTATGCTGGTATGTCAAGCTTAGGTACCCACTCCCAACCCCCACACATATGGAAAGAAAACCTTAGTGCAAAGGACTGAGAGTTCTTCAGGCTGCAACAATGTCCTCCGTCATAATATATGACAGTTCCCTTGGTAATACGTTCTTTAAAATAGGAATACTTTCTATTTGTTTACTTATCTAGCTTGGGGGGGGGGGGGGGCTGCTGGAAATATGCTCTAGCACCAAGCTATGTTCACAGCCTAGAACACATTTTTATTTCTCACTTCCTCTCCCCTCTTGAGCCCTTCCCAGCCACTACGCCCGGGTAGGTTAGGGTATCTACTGTTGTGATAAACACCATGAAACTGAAGCAACTGGAGGGGAGGAAAGGGCTTGTTTGGCTTACGCTTCCACATCAGCATCCAACATGGAAGGAGCTGGGGTCCTGGAGGCAGAAGCTGATCCAGAGACCGTGGAGGAGTGCTGTGTACTGGCTCGCTCAGCCAGCTTCCTTGTATCACTCAGGACCACAAGCCCAGGGCTGGAAGCAGCTTTAGTGAACCAGATCCCCCCCACATCAATGACTAATGAAGAAAATGCTCTACAGGCTTGTCCATACATCAATCAGGTGGGAGCATGTTAGCTAGCACAGATGGGCACTCTGCTACCTGAAACAAACGTCAAGCAGAGAATGGAGGTTCGTGTCTCCAATTTCAGCACTCAGGAGGCTGGAGCAGGAAGGCTGCTCGTTCAGGAGGCGGAGTTGGTAAGGTTGCAAGTTTGGGAGCAAAAAAAACCAACCAACCAACAAACCAACCAACCAACCAACCAAACAAACAAACAAACAAAACTCAATAAAAACATAAATACACAAGGCAGGGCAAGATATGTATTTGATCCTAGGACTTGGAAGTCAGAGGCAGGCAGATCTCGGAGGCTAGCCTGGTCTACATAACAAATTCTAAGCTAGCCAGGGCTACATAGTAGCAACCTGTCTCAAAAAAAAATAAAGATAAATAAATGGAAACACACTATGGGGTTGGAAAGATTCGTTAAGAACTGCAAGCCAGGTGGTGGCACATACTTTACTCCTATCACTCGGGAGACAAAAAGCAGGTGAATCTCTGTGAGTTCGAGACCAGCCTGGTCTACAGAGCTGCACAGAGAAACCCTGTCTTGAAAAGCCAAGGTGGGGGAGGCATGTGACACAGGGGCAGCAAGAGCCAGGCACTGTGGTCTATATCCTAACACTTAGGAGGCTGAGGCAGGAGGAGCTCAAGTTCGAGTCTAGCCTGAGCTTCATGGAAAGATCAGGTCAAAATATAAGCACACGGCAAAACAAACCCCAGACTACGCCAGGGGAATGATGGAAAACAGGGAGCATCTAGTAACCATCATGCCTCTTGCTAAATTCAGGCTAATCAGAGTGAAGAAGCAAAGACAAAAGTCCCTGCCATTTATGAAGCACACCCTGCTCAGTACAATTCACTGCAGGAAACGAGGGAGACTCTTGACTGGTCCAGACCCTCTGATGCTGACCTAGTCCAGTGGGTCCTAACTTGGTGCTTTGGGTGCAAGATGAGTGCTTCTGGGTGAATGATTCAGAGTCTCTCTAGGACTCCGAGAAAAAAGATTTTGCTGTGAGGCGTCTCTGCTGAATGGAACAGGATCAAGAACACTGGGGAAAATGAGGCAGTTACTGTATGTAGCTGCCAGATCTCGCTTTTTATTGTTCATGGTCTGTGTGCTGAGTCCAGGAAGAGGGAGCCGCAGCTGAGGGAGCACCTTCATCAAACTGACCTACAGGCAAATCTGGGGGGCATTTTCTTGATTAATGACTGATGTGGGAGGGTCCAGCCCACTGTGGGCAGGACCACTCTCGGGCAGACGGCCCTGGGTTGTGGAAGAAAGCAGGCAGAGGGAGCCAAGAAGCAGGGTTCCGCCAAGGTCTCTGCTTCAGTTCCTGCCCTGCTTCCTTTGGTATTGTCTCTTTCCTGCTGGACTCTGTGCCCTCCCCGCACCATGCCCACTACCAACTCTTACTGCTCGATCCTCTCAATTCCACGTATCTCTCTACACACAACTGCGCTTCTTTGTAACATCCCAAACCTAATCATCGTCTGGGAAGGGGATGGCCCTCAGCACAGACAGCAAGGGCAATGCGGCCAGATGTGGTGGTCACCCCATAACCACCCCCTCTGTCTAACACTTGTGCTGTCTTCTTGGTATTCCTGAGTTCCTGTTTCTCAGTGACAGAGAATCTGATTTGCTGCCCTTATCCATTTGTGCCCATGGGTGGAGTGTGTATTATTCAGTTGTTCAAGTCTGGATGAACTGGCTATAGCTGGGGAAAGATACAAAACAGCCAAGCAGTGCTCTCAGAGGAATGGGCTTGGCAAGCAATGTCATCATAATCAATTGCCATGTCTGTAAACTCTTTAGTTCAAGGTCCTGTTCCTGAGTTTACCCCCAGTGCCAAACCTTCACATGCTGCCGTAACTGTGTTTTTCCCCCAGCAGACTGTGACTGGGACTGACCTCATACACAGGATTCATTTCCTAATTTTCTGTGCCCAGCTCAGGTGTAAGCATGTAGTTAGTAAGAGCTCAACAAATACCCTTTCTCCCCACACACACCTCCCTCCTCTCCTGCTCTTTTAATAGTATCATTCCCATAGCAGATAAAACGTGGATTGGAGTTCTGTTTCATTTGCGTTTTCTAGTTTACAAAATTCTACCCCTCTTATAAGAGTGAGCTCACCTGCCACTTCTTCTGTGAACCGTCTCAAATTCCCAGATCATACTGTTATGTGTGTATACAACTGCTCCCAAGGATCACTACTGTTGTCTTCCTTACAGTTCTATTACTCACTCGCTGGCACTAAGCTAGGGGGAGTGAACTTTCTAGGTTAGGGATGCAATTCTTTCATGTGTGTGTTCTCCCTGGCACCTAACAGATCCCATATTTGTTGAACTGAATAATCAGTGAAGAAAAACCGTATGAGGGTTTTCCCTAGCACAACTGGATTTGTACACATGTTCACCACACTTCTTTTTGACCACTGGATACATTTGTGAGAGAGCTGGTCAAAGCCACGGGTGCAGTCTGAATCCATTAAACAAAGAAAAAAAAAACCCCACCAAAACCCCAACAGTCCTGTGTGAGAACATACCCCTGAGCTGGACCTCATTACCAACATCTGACGACCAACTGGGCCACCAGCCAGTGTCCCAGCTCTTAATGATACTGGCTCACTTTAGAACCACGTTCATTTTTTTTAATGACATAATAGGGAAATGATCAAGGCCGTGGGGTGGGAAGGAGAGTGGATAATGAGGAAGGGGAAGTGAGAGCGAGGCACTACGGGGGACGCTCCCGAGGAAAGATCTAAGGGACAGAAGAACAAAGACCTGGAAGGGAGAAAGGAAAGGGAATGGGGCCTGGGCTTCAACAACAGCCGTTTGATTCATCTGCTCCATTATTCCAGGAACAAGGAAGCAATCCATGAACATGGAACGCAAATTCTGCAGCGTGATAAAGAGGGAGCCTTTAGTGGTGCATATTCGTCACACATAACTTTCACTGTTAAAGCATGAACTGAAACAGAAACGCGGGAGTCTCGGGAGCTGCAAAAACACTTGCTAGGACACTGGAAAAAGTTTCAGTCATCGGGACAGGAACTTCGGTTTACTACTGTATGAGCAAGCACATTTACAGAGTCCTGATGTCTGATGTGGATGCAAACAACACTGTTACTTTCAAAGATTAGGATTAGGTGGGCCATGGATTTACCTCAATAAAGAAATGACACGTATAAGGTTAAATTATATAATTATGTTAAAGGATTTGTGTTTATTTTTTACAAAGATACCATCAAAGGCCGTTCATGCAAGGCAGTCAGGCTGTTTGCTTTTCTTTTTGGGGGCAAGGAAAACAGTAAGATACATACTTTAAATTTTAAAAATTTACTCTTGAGAACAAAACCATTCAGCTATACTGAATCTGCTATTCTTTCCAATTACATCGGAAAGCACTAACGAATGTATCACTTTTTAAACTTCGCTTTGTAACACTTGAGTGCTTACCACTTGATGTGCCATTTAAAGGATAATTAATGGATAAACTAAAAGGATAATTATTATGGAGTTTAATATAGCAGGCAAACTGCTCATTAATCCTTACAAGCATGGCTTCGTTATTATCATTTACTTAAAAAGATACCACAGGGAACTGGTATTTACCACCACATTAACTACGTATTATAGACCACACTGTATGTTTCGGCAGTAATCCTGGTTTATTTAAAAAATAAGCTTTATTTAAAATAGCAAATCTGTTGGCTAATCGATACTCTGGAAAATGACTTAAACTTTCACGTGTGCTCCCTTCGTTACTCACATAGAAGCTTCCTTTAGGAAGAGTTAAGCTGTCTCACAGCACAGCGAGCCTCCCCACTATCAGATAGACAGTAAAAGTCAGACGTGAAAAATAAAGATGTATAGAACGGGATACACTAGTGACACTAATTGAGATTGAGCAAGGTTCATGAGACAACACAAATGTAAATAATTATGTCATTTTCTGGGATGTTATTTAAATAATCAATAAAAATATGGACCATTTGGCAAATAATTTGCCCTAAATAAATCCTGGGAAACCATAGTTTGTCTGACCACATTTCTTTAAAAAACTGTAATAATTCACCATAAAAGGAAATGCATCAAAACATTAATAACATTATGTCTAGGTGGCATGTACAATGGTGATTTTTTTTCAGGGATACATAATTGATACAGAAAGGAAGTGCAGTAGTAAGCCAGGCGTTGGTGGCGCACACCTTTAATCCCAGCACTTGGGAGGCAGAGGCAGGTGGATCTCTGTGAGTTCGAGACCAGCCTGGTCTACAAGGGCTAGTTCCAGGACAGCCTCCAAAGCCACAGAGAAACCCTGTCTCAAAAAACCAAAAAAAAAAAAAAAAAAAAAAAAAAGTTGGTTTCTTCAAATTTCTTTCTCTTCCACTGAAATAAAAAATTTGAAATGTAAAATGTCAGTGGCAATGGCAATAAAGAGGAGAGACTCTCCTCACTCATTATTTGCCAAGACCTGTACTTTCAGATCTGAGGCATAAAATCACCTGATGGGCATATTCTGTTACCCCCACAGCCAGAAGCCCAGGTGATAGTAGTGGCTGGAGGTATACATGCTGGAAAAAAATTTTGCTCATTAATAATAATATTGATCATGGGCCAGGCATGGTTAAAGCTAGCATCCCTTTAATCCCAGCACTGGGGAGATAGAGGCAGGCAGATCTGTAGGTCCATGTGGGCTACATGAGACTCTGTCTTGAAAAATAAAAAGACACTAATATTATTAAAAACCAATGATATAGCCTCCAGATTTTTCCTATTGTAATTTATCCTTATTGAAATATCCTTAGAGATTAAATTAAGAAATACAGGAGTCTGGGGCTGGCAAGATGGCTCCCTGGGCGACAGCACTGGCAGCACAAGGCTGGCACCTGGAATTGGGTCCCTGAAATGGACTAAAAGGTGGAGGGAGACCTGACTGCATAGCATTGTTCCCTGACCTCGGCACGTGCCTGCCACGTGTCCACACCTCCCACACCCCCTCCATGCAGGCAAATGACAACAAGAAACCTTTAAAGGAAGGAATTGAGAAGTCAGATCCAAGTGCTAGATCTGTACTGCACTTCCTTTCTTTTCTTTTTTTCCTCTCTTTTGGTGATGCTCTTAACTGCTGACATCTCCAGCCCCAAGAACAACTTTGCAGAATACATCTGCAGGAAGATGGGGAGGGTTCATCGTGGGAATACAGACTCATTTAATCAGGGACCCCCACAATCACACTTCAAGCCTTACCTTCAATTCCAAGGCTTCTGAGAGTAATTTCTGGGCATTTTTTCTAAATGACTCCGTTTTTGGATCACTTCGTACTTCAATAGAAGGTCTATCCCAATGTTTTTCAAAGAAAGTCTTCCACTCGGTGTGAACTTCTTTGGCAAGACACGCCACCTCTGGGTCTGAGTGCCTGCGCATCTTGTTCACAATGTGACCTAGAGCAGGGAGAATCAGAAGGAAATGCAGTTCTGTCCTCCGGAAAGCACTGAGGGGCACTCACATATGTAACAATGCAAAGAGGTCTGTGCAAGCATCCGCCAGCCGGCCCGCCCGCCCGCCCGCCCGCCCGCGTGAAATGGATGTAGGCGGGTGAAAGGAGACAATCCTGGGGAGAACTGAACTGGCCGATGCAGCAAGCCGTAAAGTAGACTCAGAAAGAACAAAGAAGGCCGAGTGTAGTGGAACACACCTTTAATCCCAGCAGCACTCAGGAGGCAGAGACAGAGCAGACCTTGATGAGTTCAAGGCCAGCATGGTCTATAGCGAGTTTCAGGCCAGCCAAGACTACCCTGTCTCAAACAACAAAAACAAGGGGGGGGGGATTCCAAAGGTGCAATAAAAGAGAATGAATTAAGCATTCATTGGAATCTTACTATATTTTAAGTAAAAACTTAGTTGAATTTATTAAAAGGATATTCTTGAGTGGGTATGGGTGTCGCATCCATATGTGTATGTCTGTGTAGGTGCTTAATTGTATATTGGGCTGGAAGCTGACATGTTGGTGTCAGGATGTCTTTCTCAACTGCTTCTCGTCACTAATTTCTTTATATTATATGTATATATGTACCATGTACCATGTGGATATATGTACCATGTGTGTATCTGGTGCCTGTGACAGTCAGGAGAAGGAGTCCGGGCCTTTGGAACTGCAGTTACAGGTGGCTGTGAGCTGCTGTGTGGATGCTGGGAACCAAAGTGAGCTTCTTGAGGAGTGCATTCTTCTTTGGGGCTCCAGCAGCAAGCACAGGCTGGCGGAGACCTCAGGATCAGCCTTACACATTTGACTAAAGCACTTAACAGAGCCCCTAATAAAGGGGGCGACATCACACAACGAGATGGGAAGGTACACAAAAACTCCAGTAGAGAAACTGACTTGTAAACTGAATGTGCAGCACAAGCCTGTGATACTAACACTCAAGACTGGTGGCAGCACACCGGAAGTTCAAGGGATCCTCGGTTACATCTCAAGTCTGAGACCAGCCCGTGCTACAGCAGACCTTATCTAAAACAACAACAACAAATAAACCAACAAAAATGCCCAAACCAAAAAGAAGAGCCTATAGATTTAACAGGATCTAAATAAAAAAACAAACAAACAAACAAAAAAACTCAGTAGGTAGTTTTTATTAGAACACAACCAAAACTTTCTAGACTTAACTTTACAAGTTAAGTCTAGACTTAACTCTTGCTGCACAAGAGTATAAAATAGTATTTTGAAACAGAGGTGTTAACCTGCTACAAATAGCCTTCTAAGGTATCAGAACACATTATAAAGCAACATTACTTAAAATTACATAGACCAACACTAAAATGAATGGATGAATCTATGAAATAAAAATCAAGGCCCAGAAACATATACTTAAGAATCTAATATAAAGTTGGGTGCAGTGGCACATGCCTGTAGTACTAACTACTCGGGAAGCTGAGGCAGGGGGGTAATCACATAAGCCCATTGAGTCTGAGGTCTGCTTAGGTAACACAGTCAGATCCTATCTGAAAGAGAGAGAGAGGGAAGGATGGACTTACCATGTAATAAGAGTTATCGCTGAACAAAGTAAAACATTTAAATTAGGGAAACAGTCAAACCATTTCCCCAATTATGCCAAATGACAGCCCAACACTGCTGTACAAAGGCCATTTGTACTCAGTTCTAGGCTAGGCACTAGTCATGCAGGGCTCAAAAGAAACTCTCCTCACTTTAAAAGGCTCTCCTGGAGATGAAAATAAAGTGATGCCGGAGAGACAACAACCGCAACGTAACGGCGAGTCTAACTTCCCACTCTAACCAGTCTCTGTCTTCCTGCTGACCAGGGAGAAGGCAGCAGACCATCACTCATACGGGGAGAAGAACACATCCCCACTGGCCATGTCTGAAGGTGTTTTCCGGCTAACACACGCTCAGGAAGTGCTTTTGAAACTCATCACTTAAAAGCAGAGCTCACCCCCGGGGCACTTGCTTCCTACAGGCAGAATCGCGATGTCCCGGAGATTATCCTCTCAGCCCACAGTTCTTTCTGCTGCTGGTCAGGGTTGTGAGTGCTAAAGACACAAAGATGGTGACTAAGTGGGAGTCATGTGCCTAGAATATTCCAGACTATGGCTGTAATTTCCAGCACCAAAGTGAGAAATATATAAAAATGCAAAGAGAGAGAAGACATTGCAGGCCTCAGGCATCTTAACTGAAGGCACTGTGGCAGCTACAGAGCATCCTTATGTCCAGCCCCGGGGGCAGAGCTGAACAGGTGACAATCCTCGAGGTTAGCCTACACTCACCCTGTCAAAGTGAACAGCAACATTCACCTTAGTGCTGTTTGAAGCCAGGAAAAGCTAGGAACAATCTATGGGCTCATCATCAAGGGTCCAACTTACTAAACATTACAGTACATTCCAACAGAAACAAGTGTACAGCTACAAACTGGAATAAATAAACGGCACAAGCGAGTACACACTGCAACCCAGGAGGTGGAGGCAGGTCAGGGCTACACACTGAGACACTGTCTCAAAAAAAAAAAAAAAAAGCCACACTACAAACCTCCTAAACAAACACAAAGAGTAAACATGCAAGCCGAGCAGTGGTGGCGCACGCCTTTAATGCCAGCACTCGGGAGGCAGAGGCAGGCGGATCTGAGTTTGAGACCAGCCTGGTCTACAAGAGCGAGTTCCAAGACAGCATCCAAAACAATACAGAGAAACCCTGCCTCAAAAAGCCATAAAAAAAAAAGTAAACACACAGATAGCTCTGCATGTAGGGCCATGAAAGATGATCAATTCTCCCAATCAAGTGAAAATTGCCAAAGAGTATGTTCAGTTCGAGCCAATATTTTAAAAATTACTTATTCAGGTACATATAAACACCATATTGGTTTATTATTAACAGAGGCTTTCTTTTGAGTGACAGGTCTCTGTCTCTGCAGTTCAGCTCATGCACCAAGAGGCTGCACATCACAATCCTAACAGCAGCAGTGTGTGGGGACGGGCCCTTCCACCACCTGGTCCTCACTGTATTCTCTGTTCTCCAGCTATGAGAGAGAAGATGCGGTCCTGTGTCAAATCCAGGGGTTGTCTCTATCCTGGCACCGCTTAGCCACTCTGTGGCACCTGAGACTGGGACCTTCTCCTTCTGAACTATTTTCTCCCAGTCCTTCTCGGACACTACCTGTCTCGTGCGGGGCATGTGCTCCACCCCAGACACTGACTAACACTCACTTGAGGACCCCAGCCTTCTTTCCCTACCTGCCTGTCCCAGGTCCTCTCACCTGCAAGCAGATGTCTCCCAAGTGTGCGTCTCTAGCCAAAGGCCCCCGGGCACGGGACTGTATCTCCAGGGTCTTTCTGGACACCTCCTCACTTAAAGTACCCACAGACAGCACCCATCATCATTTATGCCCCCTTTCTCTCACTCCAAGACACGGGTCCACTGCTTTAACTCTTCATCCCCTCCTTTTCCTCCATGCCCCTCTCCACCCCTATTGCCCTGACTCACATTCCTATCACCTCTCCCTGGGTCCACGGAAACAGTTAAAATTAACATGTTTATAATTCAGAGGAGAAAGTAGCTGTTTAAATATTCCAGGCAGGGCTGGCGATGTAGCTCAGTGTGTGTAAGAACTGGGCAACTTCTGTCTCAAATCTGGCCCTTTACAATTCATCTTCTACCCTGAAGCCATAATACTGTTTTAAGGTAATTTGATGGGGATAGGGTGGAGCTAAGTGGTAACACACTTGCCCAGTAACAGGGAGAGAAAGACTTAGAGGGGAGGGAAAAAAGTGAGGGAGAGTACGAATCACAAAACACCTTCTATATATAGCATTAAAGCTCTGGACATCCGGGACCACTCTGGCCTTACTCTCCTCTGTGTCGCCCTCCCCTATTTCCATTCCCAGCTCTTCTACAGAAATTAAAACTGCATGTCTGCTTTGGGGTCATGCTGACTGCCCTTATCATACTTCTGAGTGAGTCTTAGCTCACATGGCTCCTTCTGCCCAAAATATTTCATCCATCCATCCATCCATCCATCCATCCATCCATCCATCATCGTTGTTGTTGTTGTTATTTGGTAGTGCTAGATATCAAACTCAGGTCCTAGCATTTGCTGGGCAAATGTTCTACCACAGACCTACATCCCCAGACCTGCCTACTATAACCAAACACCCACTTTCTCCTCTAAATTGTAAACATCATTACCTTACTCTAGTAATAGTCCCAGTCCTCAGCACAGGGCTACCGCAAGAGACAGTTAAGTGTTGGCTGAACAGAATCAAACCATAACCGTTTTTGTTCTGGCTGTCCTGGAACTCACTCAGTAGACCAGGCTGCCCTGGAACTCACACTCCTCCTGCCTCTTCCTCCTGAGTGCTGGGATTGCGGGTGGGAGCTTGCACACCTGGCTTCCAAATTAGTTTTGTGCTAACCCTTAGACATGGACGCAGCTGACTGAGAAAGGCACGCACTGCAGAGAAAAGCCCTGCTGTAATAAAGTGAATTCTAAGGTACTGAGAAGATGATGTTTTTGATTCTGCTCTGGCTCCTGCTCAGAATTTCTTCTACCCATCACACCAGGCTTTATGCGGATTAGTCCATTTACTTTACAATAAATCAGACCTCTCTACTGTATCCTTTTATAAATGGTAAGCTGAAGCTCAGTAGAATAATTTGTCAAGGTCTCCCAGCTAGAAAGTCCTGAGGCCAGGATTTGAACTGTGTAGGGACCAACTCTCCGAACCTCTAACGTCCTGTACTGCTCCTTCATTAGGGCCTGGCACAGTGCTCATCGAGCCTCTGCTGAGGTAATGCGATGCACCTTCTTAGTGTTCTCCAGCCAGAAGAGGACACACCCCGGGAAATAACTAACGGGCACCAGGCTTGATAATCATGCCAGGACAATGAAGTCACGGCCATTAGCCTTCAGGGGCCAGTATATCCTACAGAGCTCCC